AGCTCAGCATCTCATATAAAGACCAAATTGCATAGTTCAACTTTGGAAATGGAGCCATGCCTACAGTCTAGGCTGTTACAACCTGGAATTTCTACAAAGTTAATCTTTGAAAATTAGTTTCAAAGGCATTTAATAAAACCATAGGTCCAAATTTCAGATATAAGATGTGTGTATCATTTTTATTTTTCTAGGTGCCGAAGACTCCCAGTACCAAAATACATAGATGGTTGGACTTATTTTTTTACTTATAATGATCAGCATATTAAATGCATTTTTGACTTGCCATATTTTTGATTTACCATTGTTTAAGTCTATGTTGTAGACTGGAACAACACCAAGTGTGTGTTAAGACCTGAAATAGTCCTATGGGGGCATCTGATGACTATCCCTGACCTTGAAGCCCTCTGGAAAAGGAAGACTAAGCTTTAGGCTGTTGTATATACTATTTGCCACCTCAGTGCTAAAGTGAAGCTATCCCAACCAATACCTGAACAGCACTTAGTCCTGCAGCAGTGCTGAGGGACCCGTATACAGATAAAATGCAACACGTTCCCTTGTTCACAAAAAAGTGTCTACTTGGGAAAATAGGTAAAGAAAGGAAGTCAAGAACCAGCGTACACAATAAACTGCAAAGACTCAGCACGAAGCCCGGTAGGATTAGAGAAGGGAGAGGAAGGTGGGCAGTAAAGTGACATGGACTGAGTAAGAAAGGAAGTGGTGGATAAGGATAAATGTGCCCTGAGTTTTTGGAAGCTACCACCCTTAAACCCAATTTGGTGTGACTAACGCTTGACCGGCCCAAACAGTGACAAACGTCCTCTGTCTCTACCCAGGCCCACGGATTTCCTAATACCAAGGGTCCAACAGCACACGCCAAGAGTAGCGCTCAGACAACGGCAGAGCGGGCCCGGCCGACACGCCGGGCTGTGCACTCTCTCAACAACCCAATCCCCGCGCTCTTCCGCCCGTCGCCTTCCCGTGGGTGGGAGCGGACGAGCGTGGGACCCAATGCGGTAGCAATAACGTGGCAGCCACCCACGAGCCCGCGTCTCCGCCCGCCCCGACGGCGAGCTGGGCCCCGCCCCCAGCGGGACCTACTATCGGGCGCGGAGCCGGAGGGGGAAACGGGGCCGCCCTCCCGCTCGCAGGCCGCCAGCAGCCCCGGCGCCCCCCGCCCCGCTCGGTGGCGGCGCCCGCGCCGTGCGTCCCCACGCTCTTCCGGCGCTCGGCTGCGGGGCTGCGCTCGCTTGTGCCGGTGGATGCTGCGCCTGTCCGAGCGGAACATGAAGCTGCTCTTCGCCGCCGCCCTCATCGCGGGCTCCGTCTTCTTCCTGCTGCTGCCAGGACCCTCCGTGGCCGATGAGAAGAAGAAGGGGCCCAAAGTCACCGTCAAGGTCCGGGCTGTCCTCCCGCCCTGCTTGCCGAGGCCTGCTCTCCGCCCCCTGGGGTCCGGCCTCGGCGCGCTGGCCAGTGGCGTCGGCAGCATTCAGGGGTCCGGAGCTCGGGCCTGGGCGGCCTTGCTTTGGCTCAGCCGCTCCCGAGGCTCCCGACTTTGGCCTCCTGGAGCCTGGGCCGTCCTACCCATTCGGACAGGAGAAGGACCCGGATCCTTCCCGCCACCCCCAGCCCCTGCCTTGACCCGGGGAGTTAGTGGGAGCCCGGGATGCTCAGCTGAGGCTGGCACCGGCAGCCTCGGAGCTGTCTCTTTCCGAATACCCCGCAGTGCTGAGGAAATGGTGAAAGATCACATCTGCCGGATTCCGAATCCTTTCTCCCTTTGAGCCACGTTTTAGCCACTTCCAATTACAAAGCACAGTAAATATAGCTTAAACTTGCGTGGTGAGCTTGGCCCCCCTTCTTATGGGTTTTTGTTGAGTCTGGGCCCATTATTAGAGCAAAGATTATTACCCTGTAGTCTAAAGAGAGCGTAACCATTTTTCCAGAAAAAGGGTCTGGAGCTTTCATTAAACTCTCACGGTTTTTTT